CCCCAAAACCCCAAAACCCCAAAACCCCGCGTCGGCTAATTACTCAAATGTAAGATTAGAAGAATTTATGAATTTATTTAAAAAAATAGAATAAATTTGCAATGAATGATGAATATGTTTAGCAACAACTACATCAGTACTCCAAAAAAGTGGCGTAGTTAAGTTTAAATGAACCTGTTAGTCCTCACTACAATGTCAACTTATTTAATAAGAAATAGATATCTAATGAAAATTAGAAAGATCATTGAAAGCAGCTTCTAGATAAAGATCTAAATAGAATAACAGATGAAGTATAGCAGCGAGATGTGAACACCAGCAGAAGTAAATCGAGAGATTTAAGTGCAAATAGCAGGTATAAATCCAACATTTTTGAAAATAATCGAAAAAACACCGATAGATCCTCCTAGATTAATTCAAACTAAAGCAGGTACAATGAAAATAGGAATAAGAGTAATTTGAGTTTGCCTCTCTAAAACATGAATGCTTAAAACCGTGTTGAAAGTGAAGGGGATTCTCCCATGAAACATCAATCTTCATAATTGTCTATCTTTAGCCAGCTAAATAATATTATCCAAACTTAAAATGATTATTAGGATAAAACCATTCTAAATACAGTAACTACATTTAACACACGGAATGATCCATCAAATATGGTTTTTGGAAACGAATCCTATCTCTCTTCGATAAGAGCAACTTAAAATAACAAAAGCATATCTCCAATATTAGAAGAAAGAGAAATGAGAAAAGGCACTTATCAATAGGAAAACTATAAGTTCAAGAACATTTTCAATTTTAATAAAAATAGATAGTCCTCTAAATCTCCGCTTAACAAGTCAGGGCATGATTGGTAAGGAGATCTGTCAATTTAGTTCAATTAGGAATTTCCAAGTGACAGGGAACGTAATACAGAAAACTAAAACATTGATGATGATGAAGAGGTCAAAGTTAACTATTAAATTCAAGTGCAGAGTGATTTTCTATCAGACACTCTTGGAAATGAAAGAAACTCAAATCTTCCACTAAGCCAGACAAGCAAAGACGATAAAGCTCCGTGGAATTTTTCTGCAAACATTAGGTAGAATTAAAATTTGAACTAACATAGCGAAATTCATAATCTTAAAGAACAATAGCCTTAAACATTGCAGATTAACTAAATTTATGATTAAATACCTAAACTTGAGATTTTAAGTGATATTCGAGCTCAAACTGGTCTTGGCAGCAATGGCAGCTAATTGAGGAAATCAGCTAGAAAACTTGAACCTGAAGAGGTTTACGAAGATATGAAAATTTTGGAAAGCCAAAAAGAATCAGAATAGCAAAGTAAGGAAACAGAAATTGATTAGTAAAAAGAGATAGATAAAGATCATAAGTAGAGTATTTAAAATAAAAACGTCATAAGCAGTAAAAAGCAGTCCGACATTCTAGCAGCATTTTAGTGCATAGCTGAAAACGAGAGAAGTAAAAGCCCTGTGACAAGGAATAATAATGCTGGGCCTGAATAACTCAAGAATAAAAATGACGAACCTTTAAACGGTGATTTATCAAGTCAACTTAACAATATTTTGAGAGTTAATTAACCTAAGGTTGAAGTTGAATAAGAAAAATCTTTCTAAAAGTAAAATGAATAAGAGAAGTAGCACTAAAAGACAGGAAAGCTATAAGATCTTTTCTAGTCATAGACGAACTCATTAGATTTTATACTCACCCCAATTGATCATAGTGATATTGTAACTATTACACCAACGCCAACTTAAAATTTAAACAGTAATGGAAATCCCAATGAATTCGTAGTGTAGGAGATAGAGTCATAGATTGTTTAAGACTTTGATGGCAAAGACTCAAATTTGATGGCAGATCAGAGTCCCTTTTAAGTCAGGGAATCATTCCATGAAACATCAAGAGGATTTGCAGACACCCTTTAGTAAGAAGTAATGGTAACAGCATAATTTCATGATAATGATCGGGTAAGCATACCTACACTCCAAAATGCTATGGATAATAACGCTTCATTTCGAGGAGACCTCAATTATGAGGACTTTTAGAAGGATCTGGTGAATTCCTAGAGATAAATCAACAACTAAATGGAGTATCTCACAAGTTAAAGTTTTGAGTAGGGCAAACCAGAATCAGAGCGTTAATAAAAACAGAACTTCTAGATTATTGGTAAGCATTAGAATGCCTCTCGTTTTCAAGAAGAAATCAAGCAGTAGAGTCAAGATGGAAGCAGCAGTAAGCATTCTGTTTAGCTAAACAATATTGATAAAAACAGGTAAACTGAAGAGCAGACAGTTGCAAACATGATTTTCAAAGAGCTATTTGATGTAGATCTGGTAGATTCCCAAAATAACAAGCATGATCAGTCAAGGTATTCCTAGCAGTAAAATTTCGGGTTTAACATTGACACTGAATTCGATTCCAATAACTAGCATTAGCTTCGAATGTCTGATAGAGATCAATCTTTAGAGATCCTGAGTTCTGCCTTATCAGCAGCTAACTTAGAGATGCTTCAGATTATCGAAGAGTACGTGGATTAAGAATTAATAGTCCCAGTTTTAAATGCCGAAAGTCTTACAATATTGGAAGATGCACTGAATGAAAGACAAATTCAAATGAGGATTGTCAATCGATCTATTCTAGAGCCAACCTTGCAGGAGGAACTGGTTAAACTTATTACTGAAGTTTATTCTCAAGTCTAAGATGAGTAGCGTCAAGAGCAGGAAAAGATGAAGCGTTTCAGTACATTCAATGATTCTAGAAATATTGAAGTAGTTTGCAATAATTCTCCTCAAAACAGACATTCCTTCAATATGCAAGCCCCAAGATAGATGCATGACTTAAAAGAGGAACCTTAATATCAATAGTATACTGAGGACAGTCCTCAAATGAAAAAGCTCAGAGACAAGTAAATTGAGATTAATGTTTACTAAGGCCAAGAACTTAACTCTACAAGTTCTTTTGGTTCTCCAATGATAAAAAACAAAAAGCAAATGAGTATGATGAAAAAGATTTCAAATCCACTAATGAACTCAGACTAATACCACTTTAACCAGTTTCTAAAAGAAACAAATAAAAATTCTACCATTAATAATATCAAAGCCAGTCCAGACAGCTTCGGCAAGAACAAGGCACTTGTGACGAATTTTTATTCTACAGGGGTGCATCAATCCTAGGACTTTAGGTAGGAATCTAGATTCGACTAAAACAATACTTTGAATGACAGTCCAGAGATCCAGAATATAACAGAGGATATCAATAATTATGATACAAGAGATCAAAATGTAGAGGATGATGAAGATACTGAAGATGATCCTAATATCGTAATTTCTAGCGAGGAGGATGATGAAGAAGGCAATAAAACTGTGACATAAGCTAACTACGGCTAAAATTACGATAGAGCAAGCAACAGTAAGTCTTTCATTTCGCAAAATACAAGAAAGATGAAGCGAGCTATGAGGTCACATAACTAGATCAGCAATACAGGGGTTAGAAAATTCCAGCATCACAGAGGGGCATCTATTCTTTAATTAGATGAGTCTCCTTTTATATATCTTACAACAAATCCACTCTATCTTGATCTATTATGCGCGAACTGCTATGAGTGCGTGAGATTTGCAGATGTTGATCATCACTCATTAGTTTGCTAGTCAGTACAAGACTTGACAACTAGCGAGAAGGAAAGATATAAGAATGTGCAAGATAGCTCATCATACAGTGATAAGATTAATTTTGGAGTGGATAAGGAGCTAAGGAAAATACTAAGCGGAAGTTAAATTTCTTCTTAAAGAGAGATAGATCATGAAACTGACCTAAGTATCATAAACGAGAGGATATCAAAACTTAACAGCGCTATTAAGAATAGAATTGTAGAAATACAGCTGCAGGACAGAGACAATCCATTGACAGATTACTATTCAAGCATTTATTCTGTAGGCAATAGAATAGTAGGCATTGATGATGTAAGTAACTAAACTCATAATAATATTTAGGACCCAAACAATTTAGTTATCATTCAAAAGATACTCGAGGACTATCTGAAGGAGATCTAGGACCTTTAGAGAACAAAGGAGAGGTAGAATTAAAGAGTAGTATCACTGCTGATGTTCACTCAGAGATTAATCATTCTCTGCAAGGAGAAACTGCTTCTATTGGTTAAGCAATCATCTTTCAGCAATGAAATCATTTTCTAAACTAATGATAATGATGTAAGCTTAATCAATTTATGTATTATTAAGGTGGACATTCAGAAGTCGAATACCAAGTAGAAGAAACGAGCTTTGTTTATCTTGAATGATATCAGATCGGAAATAAACTCAGAGAAATTCAGAGACGACTAGTCAGATGTAAGCATTATTTGTATATAAATTGCTATATAGTATTCTGAATACTCTGCGTTATCTTAGAACAACTTTATCTTTAGTGCTGGACCATCTTTCCATTAGAGCAAATAATAGCTGAGAAGCCAGAACAGCGTTAAATCTAATAATAATAGGAGCTTTTAGAATGATTAAAATTTTTGGAATCACATTGAGCAATAGCCTAACTATTAAAATTTCAACTAAAATATTAAAGGCAGTTTGGCAGCACCCGGAGGCTTGTCAAATGTATCTTCGCCGTTTAGAAAGAATAGCATCAATAGTGGATTTAATTTCTCAAATAACAATGGAGCTAGTCAATCAATGATTACCACACCAAACTCTAGAAGTAATCACAAAAACTCAGTTCCACGCAGAGAAAGATTCAATGAGGGAAGTTTATTGTCTCCCTCGCATTCACATTTGTCTGGTTCAAATATCAAGGAAGATATTAACAGCAATCTCAAAAAGCATTTCTATTCTCTGGTAATTGACCAGTTAGGTAGTTATGGTGGGAGACTGCCAGATGGCTTAAGTTTCGCTACTCTCTATAGGGAAGCTGAGGCAGAAGATATCAATATTGATGACTGGGACTCGTATATTAGACTGAGACTGGAAGCGCATAGAGCGAGTAAAAAGAGATGAATAATTCCAGAAATAATGTGTGAATATTAACTTATATTTGATGCATGTATAATTAATGATATGATATTCATCCTATGGGGTTTTGGGGTTTTGGGG